CTTCGATATTGTTATTTTACAAAATTATTGTCTACCCATAAATATTTAATGCCTTTCAAATCTTTAGTTCGTAACACAGCTGCAACACGACGGATTCAGCCACATATCTATGAAAAATTTGAGGTAACTGATTTCTTGCTTTTTAATCTTTGCTTTCTTCTTTTTATTCTTTACGCTGATAACGACAGTTTTCCTTCTTTTGTTCTCTAATTTAAAATCAAGTTTTTTTGTAATCTTTTCATTTCTTTTATGGAAAAGAAAGCATAGGACGGAAATGGAGGTGCGAAAAGTAGGGTGAAGAGAACGTGAAGGAGGAAACAAAAATTTGGTTAATAGTTAAGTAGAATTGAAAGAGGAATTGAGAAGAAAAAAACAAGCACGGAAAGCTTGAGAACAAAATATCTGTAAAAGTTTTTCCCAATCTTCCTCTTCGTTAAAATCTTCAAACAAAATTAGGTACCAAAAATCTAGGCAAAGAAAATTGGTTTCTGAACGCTATGATATTTTTCGATGTCTTCAGCATCTTTAACAGCAATAAACTAGATTTAAAAATACTAAAATCCAAGAACAGTTTTAAAAATAAAGCTCAAAAACAAAAGAATAAACAAATAGGCAATAATCAGTTAACAGTCAACCAGTCGAATAAAAGAAACTCACCAATATTTCATTTTCGCTTAAATTTTAAATTTGCAGAAAACGAAAGAAAGAAAAACTAAAACAAAAATGAACAAATCACTTTGTCTATTACAGTAGTTCCATATTTCTGTTGCATTTCATACTTAATTTTAAAGTTGAAATTTTATTTTTCTTATGCTACATCTGTGTGTTTCATATTTTCCCTTGAACTGTTTCCCAAACTTCAGACATCTATGGGTAATAAAATGTCAGATGCATTCTATACAGTATCTTTTAAAATTGTTAATGCTAATTTTTTTTTGCCTCATTTGTTTTGTGCTCTCTGAAAGATTCGTCTGCATCTCAACAAATCAAACGCACCAGTTTTTGACATTATCGTCGCTCTGTTCCTGGTCGGTAAATGAGCAAAAAAATTTTGAAACTTATACTAATATTCCTGATGTTATGCCAACACAGATAGCAATATATATAAAACAACCAAAAAGAGTAAAAGTCTTAAGAACGTTTTGAAGATTGGTATCAGCAAAAAGACTGGTTGTTTCTTGTGTCTTCAAGAAGCTCAACAAAACCGGCGTACCAGTTAATTCGATGAACATTTTTTAACCATTTGTACCTTGTCTTATAATTACTTTTACGTTTTAATTCTTTGTGTTGCTTCTTATCGTCCTATAAAACCACCAATTTAAAATCGTTCTTGTACTATTCCCTATCTCTCTTCTAACAGACAAAATGAAAAAGCCAAAAAAACTGCTTAAATCTTATAAACAAATACATTATACATTTACTCCAATAAACTTTCGTCTAAAAATTCATTCATTTCTTCAGCCTAACAATTTTTGTTATATACCATCAGATATGCTGTATTTTAACGGTACTGTAGATGAAAGCACCAGGTATGGCACGAGCTCGACATCGATCAAAATCCGGTTCCGCAAAGCGAATATCTTCGTTCACCAAGGAATCCAACTCCAAAAACCTAGGTTTGCTACAGTTTTTACTTTCACTCAATTCTTTCTCTTATTCTTCCTTTTTTCTCATATGTTAAACGTAATATTTGTTGTCAAACAAAATTTATGTGTAATTTTAAAGTAAAAAATGCCATTTTTTGCCTGTACCATGCGCCCCATAATTTGCTAACTTTCTACAGCTGACCAGTGTGACAGCAGTCGTCACTGTTGTTCCAAAAACAAGCAAAAACTGTCAAGGCCTAAGATGTCTGCTGGCATGACAAATTTTGCTTCAATTCTTAATTAGGAAAAAGCACATGGAATTGTTGTGCAAAAATCCAATGCCAAACACAGATAAAGTTTTCTGTTGCTTCCAAATGTAACACCCTTTATTGCAGTTGAAAGCAATCAAAAAATCAGGCACATATACCCAAAGGAGAAATCAGTTTTAATTCCGTATAACAAAGTTTTTTTTTTCTGTCGCTTATTTTTTCATACATTTCTTAGCTTTTCGTTGCAACTTTCTTGACTAATACATAGTATAAATATGTTGAACTAAAGTTGCTTTTAACAACAGCAAACAATTGCCGGTTAAGCTTCACCATTCCAGCACCAAAATTCTGCTATACAAACCTCTGGACTAAAGATTATTTTTTCACCACGATTACGTTAAGATCAAAATACGGAATTTCCTACAATAACTGAGATCAATTACCATTATTTTTTTTAATGATACAGAAAATGCCTTTTCGACTCACTATATTTCATTTATAAAAACAGATCAAGGTTTCTTTTTGACTGATATTCCAAAAAACTCTGCAAAATTCTAAATGAGATATTTGATACAACAAACTCAGAACTTTTGATTATTTTTAGTCTTTTTTAAGCCATAGACTAAACTAGTCTCATTTTATTAAAAATAGTGGTTTTGCATCCAAATAACTGCAGCAAAGTTACACTCCATTTTAGAAACTGCTCTTCTACAATAAATTAATACACCAATTTCCTAATGATCCACCTTTTTAATTAAACGAAAAATAGTCTACACAAATATAATCCCTTTTTAACAACAATTTACCTCAAAGATTTCCATATAACCATCATTTTACCGGTAAAACCTAATATTTCACAAACTCTGAACAATGATTCCAGTGTTCTGCAGTGTCAACATCAATAGTTTCCATACCATTTAACTTACAATGACATCAGTAATCTTTGGACCCAATAAATTTTACTTTTTTTCTCGATAATCCCTTCATAATTGCTTATGATACGAAGTGGAAAAAATATTTCACATTATTTTTAAAAGCCCGACATTTGCTTTAACGACATTGAAAAAATTCACCATACCAATGTAGTTACCGCCCTCACAGATTACTTTATTGTTTTCCTTGGTTAAAAGAAAGTTTTAGGTGATTTATTCTATAAATTATTCCACAAAGTGCATTCTTTAAAAAAACATTGAAGAAGACGTCCCCAATTATTTAAATGCATTACACCCACTCCATCCAATTATAGAACTCAATTTTCAAAAAAGTATCAATTGTTTAGTGTTCATCATAACAACAATATGTAACCTCATACCATAATATCCAACAGTTCCAGTGAATCCCTTAGTGAAGTTCTGACTAATACCCACATCCAAACAGTATCCAAATAGAAAAGAAACGTTCCAGAAGATTTCATTATGTTTTTCATTAAAACACTCTCCATAACACTACCAAATTTCAGAAATAATTGTACTCAGAAGAAAATCACCATAGTTTGCACATCAACTAAGTCGTAAAATAAATACAAACAAAAGATAATCAGTTCGATTTTGATCGGCACTTTTCTTCTAGACTGATATGCACTTTCAGAATCACACAAATTAAAAATACAAATAATTTTCATCGTGATTAATTTTAGCAAACTGTAATGTCTGTCAGAAAATTTTTTGACAGTGATTTCTTGAACTAATTTTAAAATTTCTACAACCACTGACGCATTGAGGTAAATTTCACGAAACTTGACTTCTAAACTTTGAAAGTTGATATTCATAAAACGTAGAATGACAAGCAAAGACTGAATGAACTGAAAATACGCATTATAGATCTTTTTAAGTTCTTTTTTTTGGTTGCCTATGTATATTTGTACCAGTTCAATTCAATTCCCCATATTTGATTTAAACGTAGATGTAAACAAAGAATTTCACCATTTTCCAATTCTAACTACTTTACTGATGACAGCAAATAACCAGGTTTTATATTACTCATGAGAAATAATTAAAATAAAAAAAGAACATTTGCTGTAGTCATTTTTGTAACTTGTTGAAACTCATTTATTAGTTTTGTTATATGGTTTTTGGTTCACCGAAACTTGAAACAAACATGAAAATACTTTTTGTAAAGGAAATCAAGAAAGAAAGGAAAGAAAGGTGATTAAAACAGTGTAACTTGACAACACAAAAGTAAATTATTATTTAGATTAAAATTAATTATATCAAGACCTGTTAACCAAAACCCGGTAATCAATAACTTTTTCAAGAAACGTTTACTTCAAGTTCTGTATGCTGAATTTTGTAAAACACGCGTTTTGTAACTTTTAAAGCACTAAAACTTGCTGTGGCACAAATACATTCAGTTTCTCTACGTGTTCTCCAAAAAAAACTTACTTTTTCTATCTTTCCACTGTATTAGTCACTGTGGAGATAATGATACAGTTGAAATTAATCAAAATTTTCAAGAACAGGAAAAATAAGTAGCTTTTTAACTGCAAATGCTATTCACTTTTCTTTTCACTAACCAGTGCAACTAGTGCTTCGTTTCCAGTAAAATAGATAAGGACAAATTGGCACCCAATACCAATTCCACAAATTTACAACACACAAGTACTTTGATAAGTATAAAAAATTACATTAATCACTGTAGAATTGTGAAAAAATGAATTATACTAAAAAAAACAATAAATACGAAAAAGTGGTGTAGACCAAAACCAACTCCAAAGCCATCTTTGATATATGGCCTATTATTTATTTTCTTTTTGTGTTCCTTTTTTTTTTTTTCAGTTTCGAAACAGAAACAACAAAAGTACTCATTCTGTCGGTTAGACAGATGTAAATTTTTTTTAAAAGTAAATTTTTTCTTATGAGACCAGTTTGAATGGCACTGAGCATACAAAAAAATTTTTAGTTCAAATACATGCGCTGTTAATAGTTAGGCATAAGAACCGTTGAACAAAGTATGGAAAAAGAAAAGAATGAAAGGATGAAGATTTACCAGTTCAACAATGCCTATCTTCTTTGCTTCACCACTATGATACAGAAATTCAATGTAAGTGAAGTATGAACAGGCCAACTGATACATATAAAATCTGAAAAGGCTAGATAAACAAAGACAACAAATCAACGTAACAGCAGTAGTCATATTTTTATTGAATCTACACTTCTATCGACAAATATACCACCTCATTGCTGCCACCACCACCACCACCACCAAAAAAGTATAAGTGAAAACAACTGACTGCAATATTTCTTGGTTTGGCATCGATCCAATTATCGCACTTATTTGAAAGCGGCAAAATATGACTTTTTGAAATCACTTTCATCTGATAACAGTGAATGAACTGATCCATTTTTGTTGTTGCTAATGGATAAAGTTGAGAGGAAAAAAGAACAGAATGAAGCAGAAATATTTCAGAAACGGTTGATTCGCAGCCCGGAAGCTGTGGTGCCGCTGTTGCAAAAACGGGCTTATCCGTAATGGATGCGTCAGAAACAACGTCAACACCGCTGCCAAATCGTACACGCACATCAAGTGAAGCTAGCATTCAAGCATCAAAAATAGTTAGCAAGGAACAAAGTGGAGATTTTGGTGAGTCAGCTGCAAAATCTGTTACATTGGTTTTGCTTTATTGCTTCAAAATTGTGTATGGTACACCTCATTTTTTTTCGCCGTTTGATTTCTCCTGTATATTTTTTTCCTGCTTTTTGTAAATAGCGTATACACTGATACGTGTGTTATCATTAATCATCACTGCACTTTTTAAGGCATGTTATGAACCACACTTTTATACAGTTTTAACTGGTTTTGCTGATTTGATTAGCTGCAATTTTAAAATATGGTAATTAGGGCATCATTATCTACGCATAGCTTTTTATTTTATTTTATTTTTCTTAACATTTCTTAAGAACGTCCGTTTTTTTTTTTTTT